AAATCAGTCAAACAGTGTTTTGAGTTTATTAAACTTAACAACGTCTCACAGCTTTTTCTTGAATCGCAAAAGTAGAATGATATGGGATATTTCATTATCACATGATTTGATCCACCTTACACAAGTTGGTTGTGCTATATACATTAATTTAAGATGCATTTTTTGAGGAATTCGAATGCTACGACTGTGGTGATTTTAGGTCCTCTCGTGGAGCCGAAAGACAATCTGCCAGACTGACAGGTTCTGTAATAGTGTTTGACGTCCACAAAATGACGGTTTGGCTTAAATAAAATTGGTGGCGGTCATGGGAGAACTATTGTGAGCCCATCACACTTGGATTGCGTTATTACTGCATTTCTTTCACTATGGTACTTTATGCTGAATAGTATATTTTAAATATTATATATATTGAAGTATTATATTGAGCGGTAGTAGCTTTAATACCATTTGAAGTAAAAATTCGAAGAGTTGGAAAATAAACTCTCGTGTATTATTATTACATTATAGATTCAAGGAAATTAACACCAGTAAAACTTTATCAGATAGTAACTGAAAGTCAACAACATCAACTTGGCAAGTCGCAATCAGGAATCAGGCCAAGGTCTATGCTCAGTTGACTCAGTTGTAAAGCAGGTTGCCTTTACGGGGTCACACGAACTTGTTATATGTGATAAAACAGAAAAGTAGAATCAAACACATATAATACCACAATCAAAATAATTTGTATGCGTTTAATCTGAGAAAATATTGTTTCCTATGGCTCATGGGAATCAGGTCACAGTCTTTTAGATTTTTGAAGTGATACTGGTCAATTGGAAGTGGAACTCAGTTCTGGGAAATCAAACAATATAAATTGAATGTCCTTTTATATTTGTATAAATGTTCTGGTAAAAGAAGAACGAACATAAGAACTTGAGTATGACAAGAGAATGAAGTGAAATCATGAAAGAAAGTTGAAATAAGAGGTATAAAGATATTGAACTGGTAAACATTGTACTTGTCTGGTATACAAACGTTGAAACTAAACTCCAATGAAGTTTATCATAAAGAGTCTAAAAAATTATAGAAGTGTCTACCATTTGAATGATGGCTCAAGACTGTAGACTCATTTGTTAACCTATTTTAGTTATTTAATGTTTTTTTAATTATAGACTAGAGAAAAAAAACTATTTTATTTGTAATTCTGAATCTGTAAAATCTGAGTCTTCCTCTTTCGCGTCAGCAGAATTACGTAGAGAGAGGAGCCCATCTCCTCTGTCAGGTTGTGAAAAGTTAAAACTGGTTACTAAGAGTGGAACTAGTTAAGTTCTACTAGTACTAGAAGTAATATAAGAAAAGTCTCTAAAAATAATGGTTGGAAAAGTATAATACTAGGAATTTGTTTAGAGTATTTGTCGGATATTCTTTTATAATGCTTTATGGATTACAGTATGGTTTTAAGATCTTCGTTTTATTCAATAGTATTTTCTGTGAATGTATAAGAAAATGTTGTCAATTTTTAAAGAATTCGCTTTAACAAGCTAAATTTAGAAAAGTTAGCAATTATATAAAGCGAAAATGATCAAAAAATTAATAGTTATACTCACTCACCAAACTATATGACTGTGTACACTCAGCTCACTTGTTAAGGATGTTTGGAATACGTTATCACAAATTAAGAATATTTTATTTGCACATTACGTTGCATAGACTAGATGAATGAAAATGATTTTAAATTATTTTGTTTGATGAGTAACACTGGAATGTATGAGATTTTTGTCAATTAATTAGTTTATTTTTATCTAACATTTTGCATTAGACAGTAGCTGAATTGTTAGATAACTGTGGAAATGTTGATTACAAAGTGTCCTACTTGGTTATTACTGAACAAAAGGAATCAGCAGTAATAAACATTTTGTGTATATTTTCCCTCTATTCTTGAGATGTACAGTTCGAGCCGATGGTGTTTTACCTTATATATAATACTATATAATATACTAGATAAAATTAAAGTTACACTTTTAGTTACGAAACACAAAATAGTATCAGGAAGTAGTTTCAAGTTGAACTAAGATTAGTGAGGATTATATTTAAAACTATTTTTTGTTTAAGTTTTAGCTAGAGTATTTGATATTTTAGTTACGAAACACAAAATAGTATCAGGAAGTAGTTTCAAATTGAACTAAGATTAGTGAGGATTGTGTTTAAAACTATTTTTTGTTTAAGTTATAGCTAGAGTATTTGATAGGATTGGATACAGTTTTGTTTTATGTCATACTTTGAAATTTTTAAATATTTTAAGTAAATTTTTTATTGAATCCAATTGCTTCTGTAATTCTTTGATAAACTTTTTTTTCTAAATGGAAGAATTTTTAAATGCCAAATGAGCATCCCGAAACACATATTTTTCCCTGTCCATAGATGCTTAAATTTGTTCAATGACCCTTTGTGATCTTGATCTTTTTTTCCAAACATTTCTGTGCGAATTCAGAAACCAATTCGATACGCTAACAATTTCTTACCATCGACGTAGTTAGACTCGTAGGAAATAATATAGATCAATAGTTTTCAGATGGCTATGGCACAGATTTGTTACCCAATGTTTCGTATAAGTACTGAGTTTATGTTTTTGTAGTCAGAATCGTTGTGTTTAAAAAATAAATGAAGTCGAAAACAAAACATAAAACTATTAATCAAACAGTTGATTTATTATTATGCATTTGAAACATTAAGCTAATTTTACAGGAGACACAGAATACATAATAATCATAAGCGTTAGTTAAAAAAACTGTTCTTGACTCCTGAATTTTGATAATTGTTTAAGTTACTGTTCTTATTAGATATTTTTATGTTTATTTTGATTGCTTTATTTTTAAGCACAAAGCTATATGATAGTCTATCTTAGTTCTACCCACCGCAGGAATAGAAACCCGAATTTTTTATAAGCCTTCAGACTTACCGCTGAGCCATTGTGGGGAGGGATGGGGTGAGGTTCGTGTGATGTGTTTCGTTAACCTAATTATACAGATTATAGAATAGAGTAGAATGAAATTGGTACAAAGTCGAGAATAATGCGTTTTTTGTTTTTTGTGACTAACATCTCAAAACTACTAAATTTTATTTTACTCGTAATCAGAACTTGCCAGTAGTTATAAATTGAGGCGAAGCTGTTTGATTTTTTTCTATTTATTCCTGACTTTTTATACTCAATACTAGTACTCCTATTACTTCAGATAGTGTACAAAACTTTAACTTGTTTGAATTGTTACTGATATATCTATAACATTATCTACGCAAGAATTACTCTTATTATATTGTTACGTCTCCGTTTGTCAATTAACTTTCCGTAACTTCGTTCCGACGAAACTCCGAGGACAACCTCTCCTGGTGTCAATATATTGTACTTAAATAATATCAAATGCT